TATAAAAAGACAAACGACCGACCGCTCAAGACTGACGATAGAAAAGGGATCTGTTACGAACTCTGCTAGAGAACTGCAGAAGTTTATTTGATGTCTTTCGTTTCATCAGATAGTCTCCCTCAGCATCTCAAAAAAACGACCACCGTCTCCATCCGTTGGCAAAAATCCCCAGTTTTTGTTGTTGTTGGTCTCGAAGATGATTTGTTTGGCGGCTGCTTTCCCTCCTGCTTCCCCTCTTAAGTTTCATTTGTAACAGTCTCTTCTTTGTTAAATATCAGCTTCCTCTTCTGTCATATTGAATTAAAAAGAGAAAGAGACTTGGTGAATAAAAAAGTCGTTTTTCGGGGCGAAAAGGACACGCTGATTAGTGCTCCGCAGTAGGTTTTTGAAGACTCGGTTCGGTATTTCAGAACCTTGGCAGTTTCATCTGGAGACCAAGAGACTTAACTGGTCCAGAGCTGGATGTTAATATTAACCGGCTGAGAAGCACCTGTCCCTCGCCCCGAGCGCTGCCTCAGCAGGCGGCGGAGTGCGGAAGGACGGCTTTCACCCCACCACTGCTCAGTGACTCGCGCGGAAGTAAAGAAAAGGGCAGCCTGCCCTCACCCAAAATGGCGGCCGGCGCTCCGCGCGAAGGCGCCTGCGCTGGGTAGCGTTCTGTGACACTAACTCCCTCAGAGCGTTCTCCCCAACTCCCCACACCCACCAGCGCCCGGCCCTGACCTAGCCACCTGCGCCCGGAAGTGACGTACAGGCGGCAGCGGTTACCCCGCTGCATGATGGGAGAGTGTGTGGAGTGGGCGGGGGGTCTCCGCGGAGGAGGAGGTGGAGGCGGCGGCGGCGGCGGCGGCGGAAGAGGGCGGAGGGTAATGGGATGGGGGTTCCGCGGCAGCGCTGAAACTCCGGGTGGGCGTCGATGGCGCTGCTTCGCTGACAGGGCTGTGAGTAGCTCGCCTTCCGCTCTCACCAGCTCCGCGTCGGAATAGCCGGTCCTTCCCCGGGGAGCCAGTTCCTCCCCGGCCCCCTGAGCCATGCCCATCGCGGCCGCCCCGGACGAGCCAGGTAAGCGCCACTGCTCCTCTCCGCCAGCCACGCTCGGGGGAAGCGGGTGAGGGGACCCAGCCCACCCGCCAGACCCCCGCCGGGGCAGGGGGCACCTGTCTGCCACGGAGCCGGGGGCTGTGGGGAGGTGCCGGCTCTGCGGGCCTGCGGGCTCCGGGCTCGGGCTCTGCCCTCTTCCGCGGCGGGTGCGGGGAAGCCAGCGGCTGCGCCCGAATCGTATGGCTTCCTCCTCGCCACCCCGGGCACCAGCCGGGGAAGTGTGAGCCGTTGTCACCTCCCCGGCCGCCGCCGACTCGTCCTGTCCCTCCGCTTGCACCTGCCCAGAGCTCTGCGCCGGCCGTTGCCTCCCGGGAGCTGTTGAGAAGTTTGGGGCTTTGCTGAGGCTCCCTCTTTCTCCCTCCTCCTCGTCGTCGCCCTCCCCCTCGTGACAGGTGTAAACATTGCCCGCTTCGCCCAGGCCGGAGGCTGGCCGCGACCGGAGTGTGCTGCTTCCAAGGGTCTCCGAAGCAAACAGATTTTGAATCCTCCTACGGACGGAGGAGACGACCCCAAAGCTCATGCACCCCTTCCTGAGAGGACCCTTTCTGCTTCCTTCTTGCGCTCCTCAAGAAATAATCTGCGTCTCCTCCCCAGATTGCGTTCGAAAAGTTGGACCTTTATTCTTTAAGCGCCCAGTTTGGCAGGTGCTAATGTCTTGCTTGGGCAGAGGACAGACTGTAGGGTGAACGGCGGTAGGGCTCTTTCTCCATTAGAAAGTACTGAGCATGGCTAGGTTTTTCTCTTGTTAATTAATGCAAGTTATAGCTTGGTTTCCCACTGAATCTTCTATCGGGACCTAGGAAAGATGAACTCATACATGTTCGTATTTTACTGGAAATAAATGAGACAAAGGCAATGGTTCCGTTTCAAAGTTATCGCTTTAGGAGAAGAAAAGTAGAACTTTGCTTTAGAACTTTAATCTTTCTTTCACTGGTTACGCTCTCGTACTCCCGAGTTTTGTTTTTTTGGGGGGGCGGAGTGAGGTGGAGGGGGTTTGTTGGAGGGTGGGAGGGGGAGACAGTTTAAGCTTGATGTTACATTTAAATTGTTGCTTTCAGTTAATCTTTTAGGTGAAACAAATGTTTCAACACTATTGTGGTGATAAAATCTGTGTAGTTTACATTTTATGCACTTTGCCGGCTTAAATGTTCGTTTTTGTAGTAATTTTTAAATCTTCGAAGTAGTACAGGGTGGGGCAAAAGTAGGTTTACAGTTGGTATGGAAAATAATACAGTAGTTAATAAATAATAATACAGGAATAAACTCTTTCGTGCACTCACAACTGTAAGCCTATTTTTGCCACACCCTGTATATATGTTTAAACAAAGTATCTGTGGTAGTCTTCTAAATTTTGTCCGTGAAGATATTTCACATGGATTAGACAGATCCTGTGTAAAGCAGCTAGGCCATTACATGGCACCTAGTAAATGCTCATTAAATCTAATTCTTCTGTTTATGTATCAGTTAGATATATTAATTTATCCTCAAAGCATAGATATTTTTAAATCTTAAAAAGGATCTTGAAAGAAATAGAGATTTCACATAATATGTAGGGCATTACAGTTTTGATGTTTTCTGATTTTTTTTGACCTAGAGACTGTTATAAAAATAATGCCCTATCAAAACAAAGATAATGTGTCCGTAATTGCATTGGTAAATTTTGCAAACTCCAATTGCCTTTATGAAAGTCATGTACCTAGGTAAATCCTATTATAAAATATTTTAAATATTAATTTGTTCTGCTTTACAGTTAGTTAAAAACTAATTCAAAAAAGTAGTAAAATTTGAGTTTCAAAAAATGTTTTACTTTGTATGAAATCTAAAGTGCCTCCTTTAACAGTTTGAGAAGTCTTTGAATAGTATCACATTGATAGATTACCCCCTCTCCCAACCCTGCCCCCCAAAATTCATAACAGGAGGCCATTAAGTATTTAGGTACTTTTAAACAGTTATAAATTATTCAAATAAAATGTTTATATTCAAATTTAATGTTACCTACAATTTGCAAGTCACAAAATACTTTTTCCCTCCATGCTTAGCCCTTTCAGTTCCTCTTTAAGTAGGCTAATGAACCTTTCCAGCCTAAATTTCATAAGTATTTTTTTGGTTTTCATTCAGTTTTGAAGCTATCTGGCATTATATGGGTTATATCTCATTTTGGTAATTAATCTTTTCTCAATACATATATATACACACACACGGTGGAGATATACCTACATACACACAGTCACAGGTCCTTTTGCAACTTTATACAATTACTAACATTGATATACACTACTTCCTATAAACAAGATACTTTTCTAAGTGCTGTATATAAAGTATATTAACTGATTTAATCCTCACAACAACTCTGTAAGCTAGTAGGTGGCATTATCCCCATTTTCTAGAGAGGAAACTGAAGCACAGAGATGTCAGTAATTTACTTAAAGTCAAACAGCTGTTAAGTGACAGCCAGGATATAATATGATACCATTTACATAGTTTTAACATATGCAAAAATATACACTATGTGGTCTGGGACTCATGGACTATGTAACAAAAATATAAAAACATGCATGGGAATGATAAAGGGCAAATCAGAATAAAAGTTACTTCTGGAGAACTAGAGAGAGATAAAGGATCTAGGAAGAGCCCATGGGTTTTCACCCATAATAGTCTTTAAATCTGAAGCTGATTTGGTAAAAGATTGAGATTCAATACAACTAGGTGTTGGGTACTTGGTCATTTATTACATTCCCCCCCCCCCCAACTTTGTTGTATGCTTGAAATCATAATAAAATAAAAAGTTCAGGTTTTCATTTAAAAAACTGTAAAGTATCACTCGGTCTTTCAGCATCGTATGTTTTAAAAAAGAACAGGGAAGGAGTTGGTGTCATTTTGTGTTGACTTCCTTTTAAAATACAAGGAACCTCTAGCTTAAAAGTATTTGAATTAAGAAATGCCTTCTCCAGGTTCCTCTGCAGTAACTTCCCTTGCCCGGGCTCTCCTCTAATTGTTGCCAATTATCTCAATAGCTCTGTATCACTCTCCTAGTTTCTATTTCTGGCCTTAGCCCAGGGTAGGGGCTTATAGGTCTGGATTAGACCTATTCCCTAGGAAAGGGTAAAGGTCTGAAACTATACAGTAGTGGGGAGGTGGGGAGTCATTGCTCTTCATTGGGAAGAGTGAAAAGAGAAGGAAAATAGGAGATTTAAGACTGTCCTATCATTCCTCAGTCACCACCATCCCATTCCGAATAACTTAAGTAAACCTTAGAAAGATAAATTGCTAATAAATTAAAGGTTGTCTGTATGCTCAAAGCTTAATCTACAAGCACTATTTTGGTGAATAGTTCCCGGAGGAAAATCAAGCGGTAAATTTGAGTAAATTCACATAGGTTCTCTTTATATAAATGCTTACAAATACCACACACCATTTCAACTAAGTATCTACTAACACTGTGGTATTCTTTTACTTAGCACTTGCTGTATGTCAGGCCTTGTTTTACCCAGGGATACGGAAATAAACAATTAAGGAAAAAAATTAGCCCTTATAGCGCTTCAGTTTCTTGTGTGTGTGTGTGTGCACAGATGCATGTTTATGTATGTGGATAGACAACTGAAATACAGAGATGGAGATGATATTAAGTATTATGGAGAAAAATAGTCATTTTGGGGAGAGAGACGAGTACAAACTTTGACTTTGAGTCAGGGTGGGAGGTTGGTGGGACTTGCAGTTTTATATAGGATTGGGTTAGAAAGGCCCAAGACCTGAGGAAGGTGAAGAGAATAAGGGGGAGAGAGTAGAAGTATGCCTGGAACAGTCAAGAAATTGCAAGCAGAAAAGTAGTAGGTGTCATCAGAAAGTTAGAGGGTGAGAGGGCAGTGTTGCAGGGGCTTTGTAGACATTCCAGTGACTTAGGCGCTTTAGTGTGTGACATGGGGAACCGTTTTAGGGTTTTTGAGTTGAGAGAGATATGACAGTCTGTGTTTTAAAAGGGTCTGTTTGGCAAGAGTGGAAGCAGGAAGATTCCGTTAGGAGGTGATTACAGTGATGCAGCTAAGAGATGGTAGTGGCTTGAACCAGCAAGTGGTAGGACAGTTTCTTGAATTGGAACCTTTAATAATTTATCAGTTGCTAAACTCAAAAAAACTTATGCAGAGGTACTACATTCTGAAAATTCAAGGCTGTCAACATACTGCCTTACTCCCTTCATATATCGTACATTCTAACCAAACTCTATGATGTGAATTCTTGCTCCTTTACAGTTGCCACATGCTTTATATTTAGCTCCTGCTGTTTCCTCTCTGTTAAAATCCTTCCCATTTCAAATTCTTTCTCCTTTATGAAGCTTTTTTCTCTCATTTCAGTGTTTTCCCTCTTCCCAATCAAGTGAGATCTTTTTCTTAGAATCCTTATAGCCACATTTTAGTCCATGTGATGTTTATATTCTGCCTTGCAATAATTGCTTTTACTGTTTTCTTGTATCATCCGCCCTAATTAATTGTTAGTTTTTTAAAGGTTGTGACTCCTTTTACTCACTTCTTCTTATAGAACCTAGCAGATCCAAAAATATAGCTTTACAGCTGATTTACCAAAATAAGCATCCACTCCATATTATAATTTTATGGTTATTAAGTTTATGAAAGGACAATATACTAATTATAGAAAATTTAGAAAATGTAAAGAAAACTAGTATGCCCCTTGATGGCAGAGGCCCATCTGTTTTAATGCCTGGCACAGAGTAGTAGTCAATAAATATATATTAAAAGGAATATTAAAAGAAGTATATCACTAGTCATCTCACTACAAAGAGATAACTGTTAACATTTTGGTTTTCCTTTAGTGGTTTTTTTCTCCCTATGGATATATGTCGTTTACATATATATGTATATGTGTACATACAACATGTGTAGTAATCATTGCATAGATTTTTCTTTTGCTATTGAAGTGTGAGCGTTGTCTCTAAATTTTCTTTAAAC